CTGGATACCTGGGTTCTCTGGGCGGGAAGTGGAGACTAGTGGTTGTAGCAGGGGTAGGGCTGGGAGCTTGGATGCCTGGGTTCCTTAGGAGAGAGTGGAATCTGGGAATGCAAGACCAGGGGTGGCTAGGAGCCTGGACACCTGGGTTCTCTGGCTAGGGGATGGGGGTGTACTGAGTGAGACCAGAGGAGCTGGGATCTTGGATGCCTGGGTTCTACAAGAGGGGATGAGATGGGGGCTGGGCGCCGGAAGCGCGGCGTGGAGGTGCGAGCAGGAAGCCGCCACCTGGAGCCTTCAGGGTGAAGGACGTGTCGGCCTGGAGCAGGGAGGGGGCCAGACTCCTGGGTTCCGCGGCCCCTGCGCGAGGAGCCTCCCTGATTCCTGGGTCTGTTGCACAATAGGTTTGCGGGGCAGGCACCTGAGTTCCCTGGGAGGGTCCGAAGACTAGGAGCTCGGATGCCTAGGTCCTCCAAGGGGAGGGGGCCCGGGACGCCTGGGTTCTTGGGGGATGACGGGGGCCCGCACGCCTCCTGGAGTCCCTGTTCTTGGACAGCCGAGGAACTTGAGGGGGGGGAGCTCAGACACCTGGGTTTTCTTGGGGGTGTGGTATAGGGTCTCTGACGCCTGGGTCTTCTGCGGGGGTGGGGAAAACCAGTGTCCAGAATGCGTGGGTCCTCTGGGGTGAGGAGGGGGCTGCAAGCCTGGCTGCCTGGGTTCTCCAAGAGGGGTGAGCAGGGACCCGGACGCCTGGGTTCCCTGCGGGGCCGGGACTCCTGACTTCCTATCTGCTCAGCCTCTCTGCCGTCCCCCACCTCCCGCAGGCACCGGCTCTGTCCCGGCGTCATGGGTTTGGGGGCGTCGTGACCCCGGCATGGAGGTCAAAGGGCAACTCATCACCTCGGCAGGTAAGGAATGCCCCGCCTCGCCCAAGCCACGCCCCCTTGTTCCCTCCATGTCCCGCCCTCCTAGCCCTCTGTGCCTTAATGTAGTCCTCACCCGGCCCCCCCACCCACTATGATCCACACCAGCTAGTCCCGCCCCCTGCTGCCCTTCTATGGTCCGACCTGGCTAACTCCGCCCCTTCTGCCTTGCTTAGTTCTTCCTGGCTAGCCCCGCCCCCTGTGCCCTTACATAGTACTCTCTCCCCACCTTCTGTCCTTATGTTGTCTTCCCTGGCTAACCCCACCCTTATGTGGTTCCGCCTCCTGATTGGCTACTCCCACCTCTCTAAACTAACTCCACCCTCTAGCAGGCCCCTCCCCATCTCCCAACATGCTCCCACCCCTCAGCCTGCTCCTCCCACCTCTCCCAGGCTGGCCTTACATCCTGCCCACCGCGCGGCTCTGATCCCACCCCCTCTCCCCCACCACCCAGAGCCTCCCGGGCGAGACTCTGGCACCCGGCTGCGGGAGCTGCTGGAGCGGCAGCGCGGCCTGGAGGAGACGCTGGCCCTGCGGGTGCGGGAGCTGCGGCGCCTCTGCTGGCTGGAGGCCGTGAGTACACGCCCCCCGCACCCACCTGGGGCCCCCAGAGCTGGGCTCTTCAGTTTTCTACTCAGCCAGCTGCCCCCCCTAGGGCTGGGTGCATCCTAGACCCAGGTTTTACCAGCCGGTTCCACCCCAGAGCTGGGCACAGCCCCAGCACCTGTTCTACACTGTGGGTTCCACCCCAGAGCTGGGCATGTTGCAGGCCCACCTTATAGTTGGCTGGTTCCACCCCAGAGCTGGGTGCCTTTTGGACCAGTGTTATACTCAGCCAGTGCCTGACAGTTCCATGTCAGAGCTGGGTTCATCCCAGACCTGTTATACTTGGCAGGTTTCAACGCAGAGCTGGGTGCATGTCAGCCATATTATATTCATCCAGTTCCACCCCAGAGCTGGGTACAGTCCATGCTATAGTTGGCCAGTGCTTAGGCATGTCTTGGCTTCAGGTTCTGCTCGGCCTTGCTCAGCGGTTTCACCCCAGAACTGGGTGCATCATTGTGTTCTACTGGCCTGGTCCTCAGCTGCTCTGCCTCTGAGAAGCACTCAACTCTGCTCCATATTATACTTTCTTGTTCCAGCCAGAGCTAACTGCCTCTCATCTTGTGCTGGGTTATACTTGGCTGCCCTATAACTGTTCCACCCCAGAGCTGGCTGCATCTCATCCTACCTGGGCAGTGTTATACCCAAATGTATCCCCTCCAGAGCTGAGTGCATCTTGCTCCCCACCCCACACAACACCCATACAAAGGCTGACCTGTCTCTTCCCCCCACCCTCCAGGAGCTGACAGGGCATTTGCCCCCTGAGTACCCCTTGGAACCAGGTGAGAGGCCCCAGCCTGTGCGGAGGAGGGTGATCCCCAACCCCTGGGGACCCCAAACTGAGGTGAGCCCAGATGCCTGGGCTTTCTGGGGGGTGAGAGTGGGGAAGCTGGGAGCCTGGAGGCCTGGGTTCTCTGGGTGAGGAGTGGAGGGGGTGGGATCTTGGCAGCCTAGCATCTGTGAGCAGGGAGTGGGGCTTCAGGGTGAGAGCAGGAAGGGCTGGGAGCCTGGATTCCTAGGTGCTCTGGTCAAAAGGACTGGGGCTGGAAGGTCTGGGTGCAGGGGGTCTGTGCACCCAGATACCTGGGTTGCCCCAACTAACCACCCCCTGCTCCCATGGTGCAGGCTGGGCAGCGGGCACTTGGGCGACAGGTGCAGCTGCAGCGACAAGTGCTGGAGGCAGCGCGGCGCCTGGTGCTAGCCCCTGGACTCTCAGTGGAGCAGCGGCGTCGGCGGCAGCGGGTCCAGGCTGAGGCTGCCCAGCGCCTGCGGCAGCTCGAAGCACAGCTTGGGGCCTATGGTAAGGCTCCCCCCAGACCCTCCTACTGGGGATCCCTCTAGCCCCCCCAATCCC